GTAAAAACAACGGTTAATTAGTAGACTGAAATTCAGAGAACTTAAACTGTTACAAATTTGTTCTTTTATGTCAGTTATCTTTCTCGATATATCAAAACTCTCATTAGTATCAGCACTGAAACAGGATTCTCATTAATCACCACCTAACAATATTGTGCAAATACGCAATTCCAAAGCAGTACTCTTCCAAACTCTGATTACAAAATACTCTAATAATTTGTGTTACCAAACTAAGGCGTCACTTAAAAAGTGAGCAGGCTCCACCAGACAGCTTTAGGTCACCTTCTGGTCTGTGGAGTTTGATGAGTTCCCTTGACCTGACTCCTCTGAGGGAGGAATCCTGGCTGAATTCTGCTCAGCTCCACAGACCTAACTCCTAGATCAGTTTTAAAGGGGAAAGAAAACAGGGAGCAAGCTTTATTAGTCAGATGCCCCTTGGAATACACCATGAGACTCCAATCCCCCAACTGCTTTTGCACATGAGCCTGATTAAAGATGACACTGACTCAAACACTGACTTTTAATTACCACTGGGAGTACTCAAGAAACACCTTGTGGTATCTGGAGTAAATCACGTCTGTTTATGATTTCAGACTTAGGTAGACAGTAAATACCAACTACAGTCTTCACATTTTTGAGCTTTTCTTCACAACTACAACGATACCCATGCCAAGATTCATCCTACCGACCTAGTCTTTAATTGAGGCATTTAAGTTGAGAATCTAGTCACCCTAGACTTCTATTAGGAAGATCTTAGATAAGCTTAGGTAGCCCTCTGTCTCCTTCTGAAGGGATTAGAAGGGACAATTAATGCCGATTTGACTCCTGATTAAACATCCTGTTTAAAAGCCTAACATTGGGCGTGATGAACTTCGGCCTTCAGACTTTTCTATACAGAAAATCTACACTTACAGAATTTAAATTCTGGAATAAAATTACTTCTGAATTGTCAGAGTACAATTAAACAATGATGCTTTATATTTTCGCATAAGTAACTAACATTATTCCATGGATGCTAAATTCTCTTCCATTTTAGCCAAGAATTAACTTTGAAATGGCTTCCTACCTAGAATCCATTCAACGTTCAGCCACACTGTGAGCACTTAAATTTCAAAAATATTTCTGAATTTAATGACTACTTTAATGTATATGAAAAACAGAGCCTGGAAAGATGATGTTGTGGTGAACTCCAACCTGGGACATTAAGTTTAAATGCATAATGCACGTTGTTTTCTTCTGCAACCCATCATAAATCACTTAATAATTCCTATATCCTACATTTTCCTTTTATAAGAAGCAGTTTCAGTAGTTCACCTGGCTATTTCAGTGGCTTGTTGTCTGATGCTGAAATTTTCTCTTACTACACACATGTAGAGAGCTAAGTAAAAAACAGGATCCTAATGTCAGCTAGATCCTTTTATTATAATTTCAAAAAAATAATACAATTTCCAATAAAAGAAAGGGAGCAAGCCCAGAACAGATGCCTTGGTATCAGTAAAAAGAAACTCCTCTGGGAGAAGTCAGAGCACAAGCTGCTATACAGGAAGCTACAAGTCACAGAACACATTCTGGTTTTGTGGTCCTCAATGCACAGTTAACATTGGCACTTTCATTCTGTGAAACTTCTTAAATTTCATTCACAAAACATGAATAATTAATTGAAATTGCTAAAATTTACTGTCATTTTCAATACAAAACACAATGCATATCTCATTACGTCTGTACTGTGCATATGAGTGCAAGTGTCTGCAATAATCACAAATTTCAGTAAGTACTCCAAAAATATGACTTATATGCATGGCCTCTGGGATCAAGGCCAGATGTAGCTGCAAGATGGTCTGCACAGCTGCCACCACATCACATAGGTCTGGAGAGTGCCAAGATAAAGGGAGGGAAATGGGACCCAGTCATAAGCCCCTTTTTCCTTAAATAGCATATCACTTCAACGCCCCTGTATTGTTCTGCAACATATTATGTCCTACAAATACAGGCTGCCCTGCCACGTGCACACAGAGGCAGCCATTCTCAAAGTGGAGAAGATGGTCCAGAAAAATGTGTTCAAACACTGAGAAAGCATGCCAAAATATCTGAGTGAAATACTGACTGACATCAAAGTATGAAAGTGTTATATGGGGCAATGCCTCAAAGCATCTGGACTGTGACAAGCTGACAAGAATGACTTAGAATGACTTAGAATGAATTTAAGCAAAAAAATAGTATGACAAAGAGCCAATGAGCCAGCTGTGAGGCACAGAGATTCTAAACTCTGGAAGGCCACTGAGGTTTAAAAAGATGAAAGCAACAAAAATACGTATTTTCATCAGTGACTGAATGAGTAACAAGAAAACAAAATTGTTGGATGAAGAAAGGCCAGAAGTATGTCATCAAGGTCTATGAGAAACTTCCAAAGCCAGTTATTTCAGTGTTCAGAGGAAATGGAAAAGAAAATTGAAGTTATGACCCAGCAGGCTACACAGACAGGGAAAAACTCTGATGTGAGGCCAGGCTAGCACTGGTTGGAGTCACAGAGCCACAGCTGGCTCCCTGGTCCCACTTTTGTCTTTCTCTTTGCTAAGGTGCACAATGGAATTAAAGACTGGCATATCTAGGAATTAGTTTTGCATGAAAGATCAAGACAAAGGGAAGCACCTCTTTATTTTCCTTGGAAGATCTTTCTTTATTGAGTTTCTGATTCCAATTTTACACGCCGTGCATACAAATCTGATCTAGACATGAGATTATATTCTTTTATTTTTAAAAATATATTGATGGTATTGAGTTCATCATATCCAAGACTGCTTTATATGCAGACATAATCAAATGCAGCTACTTCTCATGTAGAACACTATAGTTGCTTGCCATCAGTGGTACTAAAAAGCAAAGAATACTCCACTCCACGATGGTCGGCTGGCTTTAGGTAGGCTGGATACAACTGCCCAAGTCAGAATTTTTCCAAAAGAGCAGCTGTGGTAAATACCTCTCATCTGCAGTTAGAGCCAAAGCATTCTTGGCAACTATACGTCTAACCTGAAATTCAGCTCCTGTCGGAACAAAATACCTTTACTACATTACGAAGCGATGGGTTCCAAGTAGTTTCAGTTGCTCTTTATTGATCCAAATGAAACCTAGACTGCAACTGAACACCCAGTTCCACTTTCTGAAACATCCTAAATGGAACTTGAAATTTTTACTCTGAAGGCCTGGCCTGGCCTGATCCCACTTGCATGTAAGACTTAATGAAAACTACAGCCAAAGGTGATTTAGCTGCAGTTCATTTACAGGAGATGCCTGAGCACCAGTTAGATATGAAACATTAAAATATAATGAGATCTTAATGCTAGATCCTGCAGACAAAATCCATTACAAAGACAGCTGACAACAGTTGTATGTGCTTAAATATTCAGACTTCAAAGCAGAAGAATTCCAGGCACAACAGTGCCATCCAGGGGCCAGCTAATTGCTGGTGAGCATCCAAAGAATTTCCTGAAACTGATTTTATTTGTATAAACAAACAGGTTTTATATTTAAAACAACTTCCCAAAACATTTTCGAATATGATCTCAGTTCTTTTGAATGTTGCAACAGACAAACAGTAAGGTGAAACAATAACCGACTCATTCTCCAGACATGCTAAGACTTGCTTACATTTGGGCATGAGTTTTGTAAAAGTCCCGTTTCAGTAAAACAGAAAAATATTTGTAAAAATTTAAATCAACAATTCCTTCTAGCAAAATAAACTGGAAATAATGAGCAAAAGTCCTGATGAAACTTTGCCAAACTTTTCAGACTCTCGCAAAGTCCAAAACACATGCACAGCCCCACTTCACTACAGCTACTTAAAATGAATTGTCTGTGTAAAATTTTAGAGAGCTAAAGCTTCAGACGACTTAATTTCTGCACAATCCACACACTGCATTCTGCACAAATGGAAAAATCAATCTGAAAGTTTTAAAGCAGTTTGAAAACGGAGACTGTTTTTGTGTCATAGGGAAAAGGAGGGGGGGAGGATAAAGCAAAGGCTAGACATAGGGCACTGTTCACCGTTTACTCGTGATCTTTTTTAGGCTAGCTCCGTAACGGCAGCAACAAGACGAGAAAAGCGAGAATCCCAGATTATTTCTAAGGTTATAAACGATTCGGAGGGGCAGAAGCCTCTTCAGTTTAAGGATTTAGAGGTGCACATCCTTTCAGGTCTTTGATTCAGCCAGCTGACGGTGCAGTGTAGCAGCAGGAAACGCAACGCAGCCCTGAGAAGTTTCCGCTGTAACCTCGTGCCAGGCGAGCCCCTTCCGAAGAGCTGCCCCCGACGCGCCGCCGGCAGCTGCGGCTCCGGGTCCTCGGCCCGCCCGCCCCGCTGACCGCCCGCGCCGCTTACCACCCGCGGCAACCAGCAGAAAACCCTCTTCACCCCCGCTTCTAAGGGAAACGG